ACCCTTGCCATTCTGTGATTCTGTGCTTAAATAGCCTTAGACACTTGGCCATACAGCCACGATTCTGCAAAGCATGCTTGCCATGTGCTCAGCTTTAGGTGTTTAAGAAATCCCATCCTGCTCAGCCGAAAAAAAAAATAATACCCCAAACCTAAATTTCGATGCTCAGTAAGAATATATTTTATTTGGACATCTTCTGTTCATGCATTGCAGCGCGTGCAAAGCTTCATTCCCATGTCTACATGGGTCCTAATTTTCCAGGGTTAAAACCTGAATGAAGTTTTTCCTTTAGCGAGGGCAAGCTGCAAAGAGCAGACAACCTCATTAAAAAGGAAATCTATAAATCCTGTAGTCCTCTCGTCACCTCTGTTAACTACATTTTTCGAGGTGAAAGCTGTTAACTGCGGCTTTTAAAAGGTACGCATAAATGCAACCTTTTTCCCAAAAAAACTTCGAAGATGTGCATAAACAATAACAATTTCTGATAAATGCAATGCTGTTTTACTGGATTTATGTGCTAAAGACAAGAACTGCTTACAATAATGAAATGCATGGGCTTGATTCTTTATTCGCCTGAGTCACTCCATTACCTCCAGTGCGTTAAGGAAATTGCTGCAAGAGTAGAATCAGGCCCTTAATGGTTTGCCAGCTACCATACTGACATTACACCCAGACGATAGTCATAGAAATGTATATTTAGTTCCACAAGAACAGTACATTAGATATCCTTAAGTGTTTTATGAGGCAGGACTTTTCTGACTATTCTGACAAAAACCACCAGCATGCGTAGTAACCGGAGCTTTGAACAAACATTGCGGTTATGATTTACAGCACAATTGCCAGAGTCTTCCTAGCTTCATCTTTGATGGCTACTTACTCAGGCTGTCATTTTTAGCTCTGCAGATTATATCTGCCTTGGCCTCTTCCACAAACACTGGATTCACTGGAGTGTGTTGCAGACAATACAGCTCTCAAACAATGAAGCATTTGTGTTCATTTTCTTCTATTTTATCTTTGGAATTCTACTATTTAGGTCACTATCTGTTGCTTCCAGCTATTCTTTCCTGACAAATTGTAGCTCTTTTTAGGCTTAAAAAGATATAATCAATGAATTCATCTATATTATTCCTCTGGGTATAAAGGTCTAGATGTAATAAGTGGTACACATAGTATAAGATTACATTGCTATTCCTGAACTGCAGCCCCAAGATTAATTGTGCCTTATAGGCCAAAATTTGAAGAGCTGCTGGATGCTGGCATCTCTGAAAATCTGATACAACTAACACAATAAAAAACCAATATTACTGAATTTCTCAAGTGCTTTAAACATGATCCCTCACCAGCATGAACTGGAACGGTGTGAATGTATGTGTGTATATTCCACAACATGTAATTTTAGATACAGATATGGAGAATAATGATGAACGGATCCCCTTTACCTGATCATATCTGCCTTTCCTAAAGGAAAAACAATCCACCACAGGTTTTACTTGAAAAAAATAACCCTTGGATTTTAGCAAGTGACATCACTCATAGTGAAATATGTCAATACCTGTGGAATAAAAATTATATTCAGGTATGGGGACAGACAGGAATTCCATTTACATTTAAACTTAAGCTCACCGATGGCTCTGCTAATGTAAAAAATTACTATGCTATGAATGAAACGAAGATGAGTGCTTAAGCAAACAGTCATAAATTAATTTATAATGAAACATGACAGTCATAATTTAATTTAGAATGTATTTAAGATTGTTGTTACTATTTGTATAGGTCTTTTTTGCCTGGAGGAAGATGTGGCTTCATAGTGAAATGTGAGCTATTGAAATACCAAACTTCTTATGCGTACATGTGTATTAATTAATTAAAATTATGTAGATACTTTCCTAATGAAGATCTGTTGTCTACTGCAAGCAGTCAGACAAAAGCTTGCATGTTTGAGGCACATGCAGTATCAGCAGGTCACCAAGAACTTAGAGGAAGCATGAGGGGTGCTGAGCATAGCCCATAAAATCTGTGGGGTCATGAGGCTGCCACTCAGCTCCCTTCCTCACTGGCGAGGAGGGGGACGTAGCATGAGAGCAAGCAGTAGGGCTGCAGCTTTTGCACTTCTCATCTGCTCTCCGAAGCTGTTTGCTGCCCACGCACAGCAGAGCAGCTGTCTAGGCTCAGTACCGCACCCCTGAAATGTGTTAGGCTGCTTTTGCTGATGTAGAGCCAAGCACATCTGAAACGTAGTTCAGGCACCTAATGGCTGACTTGCCCCCTCTGCGCCACTGAGTGCCCTAAGAGCACCTGAAATGACTGCAACGCCTAACCTATGCTCCTCAGGTTAGGAGGCACGGAGCCATCTCGAGCTACACCCCTGCCGCGTTGCTGGCTTTAATATCCAGATGTTGGAGAATTAGGCAAAGGTTAAACTCCTCATGTCTGCACCCCTGTCAACGTCAGTGTGCTGCCCTGTCTGCTGGAGTAGGTCCATGTCCAGCATCCTGCTGATGCCAGCACAGTGAGAAGAGGCAAAGGGCAAGGCTGGTGCTTAGAGCAAGGGCACTCACAAGGAAAAAGTTGTGTGGTGTGCACTCTTCCAGTATGTATATAGCTAGACAGTTTATTTTTCATTATATTTATTCTAAATCTTTTGGATGTTTCTGAACAATCAGTATGAATATATTTATTTTTTAAGGACAATTCCTAGCTGGTGGAATTTTATTTTTGATACTGTAGAGGTGTTTGTTCTTTGTAACTATTTCTAAGCCCTAATGAATCTTACTTCTGCCTGCATTGACTCCAGCAATGAAACTATATGGAGATAAAGTACTTAAGCTTTTCACTTTTATCAAATTTGCCTAATAAAAATGGCATAGGAGTGGTTTATTTTTAACACAAGAAATAATTTCTCTGTTTCTAATAGTATCAAGTCACAAGTAACTCTATTCAATTTGTTAATTGAGAGAGAGTATGGTAGGGCATTTGGTCAGGGTGTGACCAAAAAAATCTTAGTAGTTTGTCTTGATATCAGTTAAGAAACCATGATCCCAAGAACTTGTGATTTCTATTTGGAAAGTACTGTTTAAGAAAAACCAAATTACAGGCCTTGAAGCGTAATATCTGTGCTAAAAATCGGTATTTATTAAAAGTAAAATAAAAATCTCAGCCCGTCTGTTTTGATGAGTTTAATAGGGGAGAGCAATGGGTGCGTTTGCTGTAAAATGTCAAAATCAATGTGTTTCACACTGATCAGCAGATTCTTTAAATATGGTTAAGCAGCACACAGGAAGCACTTGGGTGAGTGACAGTAATTTATCAAAAAGTAGTTTGTGTCTTCCCCCAATTGAAAGTTTGCAAAGGGTCCTTTCCACACCCCTCATGGCAACACAATTCCCCTTGCCATACAATGAGCTCTTATTTTACCGCTCGGGAGACAAGAGGGTTGGTGAGACACTCGCGTTAAAGGATTCTTACCCTGCTCTCGGGGGGAGACCAGTGGTGACATTTTAGGCGGGCAGTTCCAGGGCCTGTCCTGTCCTGGGCACTGAGAAAGTCAGCATCACCTGGGAAGGCAGTAGGCTGGTTTTAAACTTTGAGTGTGCTCAAGGACACATAGTGGCAAACATTCGGGATTTTGTATGTTGTATCATTTTGTGCACTGAGCTTGGGTAGCCATAATGTCCTTACCCTGTATTTCATGTTATGTATCTACTACTTATCCTAATTTCAAACCTGATTAAAAGTTAGTCCTTTCACATGAATGACTGAAACCATCCTAAAAAAAAATACTCTCCAGCTCCCGCAACAGTTCCTTCCTTGCCAGTTAGCTCATCTTCTCAAATCAGAAGTCTAATCAACCATATTACCCTTGAAAACAAAAATTATCCTGTTTCCTTTGCAGAATTATTTCTCAAGAAAGAACCTGGGGAGGGAAGGGTTGATAAGCTGAACACTATCCAAGCAAAAACCCAACTTGTATCTTTCTCAATAAGATTTGACATTCTTGTGTACCAGTACCATAAAAGCCAGTTTTACAACTCTCATATTTAATACTGATAGCAGAAGCCTTTTTTCATTGCCACTTTCTTGGCTAATAGTACATCTGGCAAGTTACTTGATAGTTTAGATTTTCCTAGAACACCACAAAGACAGACAAGCATATCCCTCAGATACACAGATCGCACTACAATCTCAGAATAAATACAATTTTTGCAACAGCCACTATTTGGGGTTTACATTTGCCATACAGGCATGCAAATCTTCTGTCTCATAAACTGAACACTGCCAGCAGAGGCTGGACAACACAACAGAGAGTCTTTCTATTTCATGTTATATTACCTGTTAAAGATACTATTATCCAACTCATACGTTGCACAACAGCTGGAGCTGGCAGAAGGACAGGGAGCTGCAGCCCCAGACTATAAGTAAAATTTATTGGGCATTTATTGGTCTTCAATTTCATAATCAACTAGCTAGCACCAAGAATGGTGGTTAATACAAACCCAAATCCACTAGTTCAAAAACCAGTATAGTTCAGTATTTCAGGACTCAACTGCAGATGGTCGTGTGTAGAACCAGTTCCTCCACTGAGGATTTCTAGTTTAAATGGATCAAAGGAAACACTTTGTCACCCCTACAGGTAAGAAAATTGAGGCATGGAATAACTGCGTAAATTACCAAGAGAGAAAGTTCAGTTGTCCATATGGACAGAAAGTCCGTATGGAATTCCCACTTCCCTTCTCTTTACCAGTTTCTGTAGTATAGTATTTCCCAGAACAGACTAGAAAAACGTAAAAAAATTTAATGATGATTTACAAATATACAACACTTACAACTTTTAGGAGTTACAAAAATGGCACATACTACAGAAACCAAAAGCTTCCTCTAACCTTTGGTACATTTCATAGTTATTTATTTACAAAGAAAAATTACAGTCACTTTACATAGTGTCACATGTTTACATATAAGCATTTCTCAGCTGAAAAATATCTTGCAGCTTACCCACAGGCACTTTTTGCAGTTTGAGCTCTGCACCCATCTATCACATCAAAAATTCTATCAGCCCCTGTTAAGCTGACATGACATTGCATTTTTATGTTTCAACAGCCTTTAGTTTGAAAAATATGTACAACCCATAAGGCTAAACTGATTCATAGTTGTAGAGATTTCACGTGATATTTTATATGGCTCACGGTTTGGCAAAATGACACAGGCTAGCTTTATTAATTAGCTCAGTAATGCATGTTTAGAAAAAGGTGGTCCAATTTTGTTAGCTAGGGTATTTCCAACTCTTCATGAAGGGAATTAGAAAAACAAAACAAAACAAAAGATAAAATATCCTTTCCAGAATGCTTTTTCACCTTACAAAACTTAATTTATATTAAGTTCTTCCTTCACTATGTACAATTCTTACCTAAGGTCATGGAGCATGCTTTCCAAATCCTGTTCATTTCCATTAGTTTTCTGATGTTGGATGTTTTCTAGATTGTACTTTCTTTAAACCAAAACTTAAAAACTTTCTTCTACCTGAGAGCAAACATTAGTATTTCTTAGTCTGTGTGTACTTGAGAGTCTTCTTATAAATTAAAATACTTGCAATAAGAGAAATACAGCCAAAACATATACAGTCAGTTTTTGACATCTTCTACTCACATGTGTATACAAAAGCTTTCATGCTCTGATGATTTTCAGACTATACAATTTCAACACATAACAGTATGTGAACTCAATACAATCTTCATTGTGCTAAAGATAGTTTGGGACTACACATTTACAACTGGTAGTTAAGACTAAATACCACCAGAGTATTAGTTATGGTTCAGGTCAAGATTTTTTTAAATTGAGGAACAGAAAAAGCTTGCTGTCAGTAGCTGTGAACAGATTTTAAAGAGTGTCTTCCAGCATTACAGTATTTCCCTCCCAAAAACTTACTCCATAGACAAAATAAACTCCAAATTCAAGCATCTTTAAAGAATGCCTGCATTCTGGATTTTCTTCGTGCAAGAGCTTCTTGTTTTTTTCTTTCAATCTCTTCTTGAGAACATTTTCTATTTTTTTGTTCCACCACAGACACTGTAAATAAAGACACATATATTAGGAGCCTTCAAGTTTGTTCAATATGTATTTTAACTTATCTGTTTTCAGTGTTTGAAGATCTATGGCAAGAGCACACTATTCTGACATACCGGGCACTCAAGTTAAAAATGGCTCATCTATCCTGTCCCCAAGGCAGGAAGGGGGATAAGATGCATGACCTTTGTAGTGCTACTGATTACTGCCTCCCAATGATAATACTGCGATGCAGACATTTGCTTAAAGGAAATTTTACTTGGCTGCCCTTCAGGTGAACCTTGTGACATCAGGAGTCAACATAGGAGATGGCAACGGGTTAAGAAAATTAAGGCTATCAGAGTGAAAAGGGCTCTACAATTTAGTGAGTTAGTCAGAGATATGGGCATGGAGATGGTATAGACACAGGGGTCAGATACAGTACAGGTGTCACACAAATAAAACCAGAAAGGTTGAAAAAAGGTCAAAAGTAGCAATAAAAATTGGCAAAGGAGACAAGAACATGATAGCTAAGCGTAATATTTTATATGTTGTGTTACAGAACTATAAATTCCCACATAATAAAATTCTGACCTCACTGGAACCAACAGGAACACTCCCTGAACACGTCAGGAATTTTACTGTTCTTATACACCAATTTCCAATTAATGCATTTTTAATACATAGTCTTTCAGACTGGATACATAAAACAAAGGGTCTCTCTGCTTCTTAAAAAAAAAAAAAAAAAAGGTGTCCATGAAAAATTACGTTATCAGTTTTCAAAAGGATCACTTAACATCCATCTTTTTGTTACAGCAATGTCACCAAAAATTTAAGAGGAGGACAGTTGTTTATCTGTAAAGAAAATTTACACTATTCTTTTTCATTCCTTTATTCTGTAGAACATTCCACAGAACAAGTAGTTATCTCTCCCCTCCCTTCCCGCTTAACATCTGCAATTACTACTTTCCATTTATCTGCTTCTTTGTTGGGAAAGAAACATCGATAAAATACTGATTCTTCAAATAACGCTGGCTGATAGTTTGCAGGAATTAATTTTTTTGTTGTTTTTGTAACAGTGTCTCCTGAAAATTGAGGTTGATGTAGTACACTCTAAAGGCACGTTTTATCAAAATTAACATTGATTAAAACTTCACCAAGCCATGAGATCAAGTAAAAACAAGGCTGACTGGCACTCGACTAGTTCTACATTTCCCTAGCAAATAAGACCAATGCATGGAATACTACAGACTGTCACTGGACAATGGAAAAGCGACAGACCTCCCCTCTAGATGAAAGGAAGTGTTAGTGTCTAGACTGATAACACAAGAATATTTCACTGGCAATTTTAGCCACAGAGCAAACTACAATACAGGCCAAGGTTTCATAAGTGTAGAATGATTCAAAGTTCTAATTTCCAGGTGTACAATAATATGAAATTGGCATTCTGCTGTCTTCTTTCCCTGCCCCACCATTAATTGGGTTTTATGAATCATGGCTGAGATAAGTAATTTTTCATGTTTTTCAAAATGGAACTTTAGATTAAAGCAGATTCATACTACAATATTTACTACATATCAAAGTAGTAGTATTTTTAAGGAAGAATTTAAGAATATGGTATGCCGAGTGCTGCCATCAGCCTATACTTGATCCTAGTGATTCTGAGTGCCTATGGAGACAGAGTGTGAAATATGCAGAGAAGTGGAATGAAAATGGGAAACAAAAGTCCTTAACTACAGGAGTTCAAGAGATGCATGAGGACAATTTTATTTTGGAGAAAATAATCTCCAGATTTTCATTAGAATATTTACTAACGCCTAAACTGAATGAATACTGAAACCTATTGTAAGTTGCCATACAGTATGAATTTCTTCTTTGACATTCTGATTGCAGTAAGAAAACAAACAAAACCAGTCTAACAATGATACAATAAAGACAAATACCTGATGTAGGCAGTGCAAAAGACTCTGAAAGGTGCCTCTTGAAAGGTGGTTTCTTATTGTCAAGCTTGCTGTGCAAAGTCACATTCACCTGATTCTTGCTTCCTTCCAAACCCTGCAGAGTAATTCCAATGCCAGAATGGCTCCCTGGATTTTCAGACCCTACATGAAGAGCACCCTGAGAATTGTTAGTCTTTCGGAACTTAAACTTTGAAGGCATAAGCGATGTTTTGTTAGCAGAACTGTTATTTGGTATCTTTCCCGTATTATACAAATAGTCTCGGCTTTCTATTGTTTTGCTGCTAGAAATGTTTACTGCATTAACAGGACTTATTTCAGAACCAGTCTCTCTTGCTTGCACAGAATTTGACCTGTACCATTTTCCTGAAAGAGTCTTTGCAGTATCTTCAGAAGCAGCTTGATGAGAGTTTTTAGACAATGTGTATTTACACTCCACAGAAGTACCTGCGATCACAGTTAGAGGACTTGAGACGTTTTTACAGTTCACTACGTGACCCATTGTGGCCAGTCCACGTGTAACCTTTGACGAATTCCTACAGGAATCATTTAGCGAGAAAGTGTCCTGTTTTGTGTTTGGTTTTTGTGCCAAAAGGAGATCAGGTAGTCCTTGTTTAGATGCAGGGAAGCTGTTATCAGCACTTGATCTGGAATTAATACTGGCTCCTTGTATAGTTTTAGCTCTTTCATTTCCTTGTTTAACATCCTGGCTCTGAGTCTGCTTTTCTATATTATCACACACCTGATACAACAATTCATCATCCTCACAGTTTGCATCCCAAAGACTATCGGATTCACAAAACATATCTAGTATCTCATCAGAGAATTTCGGTTCATTCCAGTCATCAAACGACAGAGGACATTTCTTTGGTATTTCAACTTGATTTAAGTGACTTGTATTAGCTTGGTTAACCGCTTTAGTTAGATCATTAGCTTTCGTATTGGTAGAAACACTGGATGATTGACAGAAAATATTGTGTGTGTTATTCCCAGGTTTTTCAGTCCATTGTCTATGAGGATTAGATCTTGAAGGAAAAAGAGGAAGACTGTCACTTTTAGGCTGAATAGTTTCATTTCCATTCTTCACTTCAGGTTGCATTGAAATAGGAATATAGTTCAAATCACTGTTTTGGGCACTTTTCCAAATAGAATTTATTTTATCTGGCTTAATGTCACATTTCGCACGAAAGGCTATGGTCTCTGTCTTTGAGCTTTCTGGCTTATTATATGGCTTTTGCAAAGGAAGAGATTTTGCAACATTTTGTGCGTTGTTACTAGAATGTTTCAAAGGTGAAAACTGTAAACTGTTAGGTTTGCTTACACTGCCCAAAGAAGTTACTGAATTGCAACTACTTCTTTCCTTTGTTCTGTTAGCATCACTGAAACCATGCACAGATGGATTTGTAGGAATAGGTGGTGCTTCTTCAGTACTTAGCAATTCAGGATTTTGGGTTATTTGCATCACAAAAGAGTCATCTGCCAAAAAATCTGTATCCCAGTCATCAAAATCATCATTAACTACTCCAGCAACTTTACTGGAGACAACCAATTGTGTCTTCAAAGAACAAGGATTATTTTTTGTCACCATGTGAGTATCAGGTTTTAGAAAAGCCTGGTTCACACTTCCTGGTGCGCATGGAGTATCTTTTTGATATGCCTCTGAATTACCATGTTGCATGTCTTTAATTTCCTCAGGAAGGTGTTCCTCTTCCAAAGTGCTTTTATTTTCATGGAAATTATTATTTAAAGAAATACCTAATAATCCTTGGCTCAACTGTCCGCTACACTTCTGGGTAGAGCAGTCAAAAAGAGCACGAAGGGCTAGTTCAGCCTCAAGGTCTATAGACTTTTGACTGCTAGATTGACAGGGCTCTGCAGCAGGGATGCCAGTGCTCTGTCCAACTGGTTTCAGGGACAGAGCAGTATCTGTTTCAGAAACTTCACCAAGAAGTGATTTCAGGTTCTTCATATTTACTTCCTCTTTAGAATTATTTAAAGACTCTGAGGCAATCTGGATGAAGTCATGACCAAGCTTCTCTTGTTCCTGAACAGCATCTAGCTCTACTAAATTTTTATCAAATTCCTTAGCCAATTTCATGAGCTCCTCTTCAGGATTTTTTATTTTAAGATCTCTAGATTAAAAAAAAAATACAGAAAAGAAAGTCAAACCTACTGAGAAAGTTTAGCCAAGCTCAGTAACACTGCCATATAAGCTGTTCATTCTCTAGTTTTAACTACAGAGAGTACGACTGAATCCCACTGCTTTCAATGCGCAGTCAGCATGCCATCTTTTTGAGAATTCCCAAGAAATACCCCATTAAGAAGAGATAACAAGCCCAAAGTTGAACGCATTCTGTATGCTAATGTACAATTACATGGTTCACTATACATAAGAGGAACACCACATACCCTTTTTCATGAAAGCCCAGCTGTGATGGGCAAGACAAAACTGTAACTTACCTTGTACAACTTAACTTCGTCCTAGCTCGCACTTTTACTACTCCAGGGGTACAGGGAATAGCATCCTCACCAATCCATGTCCCTAAAAGGGAGCCTTCATTACAGGCTGCTTTTTCATCCTGAATGATTAGATTTATAATGCTTAGGAATATGATTTCAAATAAAGATTGGACTAGACACATACCTTGCATTAGTTAAAGTTGCTAAAGCAATTAAACTGGATCAAATCTGTTGAAAGCCAGATAGGAGCTAAACCAATACAAGTTAAGCAAGATTACTTAAGCAACATTGTCTACTGGTAGTTACTTTAATTACATTGACTTAAAACAGAAGCTTCAATTAAAATCACTGAATTTCACTTTGGTACTTAAATCTAATGCTCTGTTTACTTCATGTTTACACATAGTCTGCAATATCCATGTTACAAGCTGTAATCCATTTTACTTTAGTATACTGCTGAGCTAGCTGAGGTGCGCTGTCTTTATCCACTTAAAGCAGCATTAACAGATCAGAGAATTTGAAGGAAAACATAGTCTGAACGCTTCCAGGAAAAAATTCTGACCTCTTCCATTACAACTCATTTATACAAGGCGCCTTTAAACAGAAATGAGTGAAGTTTAGAAACTAAATGAAGTGTTGTTTCAGAGCTTCAAAGCTCAGGCGTGGATTTGAATTCTGAAATCTAAAAGATACAATACTGCAGTGGTAAAAAAGTCTTAGAGGTCCAGAGCCATGGGATGTGGGAAATTACTGCATGTAGGCCAGCAAAAGTAATTTGAACTTTACTAACTGCCAAGGTAGTTCTGGGTAAGTTTTCTTTTTCTTTGTAAATTTTTTTTTTTTTTAAAGAAAAAAAGAACACAAGCGACAGATAGTTGCAAGTCCTGGTATTATATACATTTATGACAGGGCTGTAATCATTTAAAAGGAAGAAAGTGGCATCCCTTATCAATGATTTTCCGATTCTTAAGTATAATTTCTCAAAAATATGCCAAATAGTGCATACATTTTAAACGGCCCTGTCAAATAAGCAAGTATATTTTGCAAGCTCTTTTAGAAATGACATGTTCTCTTCTTGCACTTAATAAAAAGCAAATAATTATTCTCCCTTTCCAGGCTGTGGACATCAGGTTCACAGCAAGACAGAGATACCAAGCGCATAGTTCTTAGGGTAAAAAGACCTCCAAGATCATCAAGTCCAACCATCCACCCAATACCACCATACCTACTAAACCATGTCCCGAAGTGCCACGTCTATGGGGTTTTTGAACACCTCTAGGGATGGTGACTTCACCACCTCTCTGGGCAGCCTGTTCCAATGCTTGACCGCTCTTTCAGTGAAGAAATTTTTTCTAACATCCAATCAAAATCTCCCCTGACACACTCTTGTCCTGTCGCTTGTTACTTGGGAGAAGAAACCAACAGCCACCTCACTACACCCTCCTGTCAGGTAGTTGTAGAGGGCGATAAGGTCTCCCCTCAGCCTCCTTTTCTCCAGGCTAAACAATCCCAGTTCCCTCAGCCACTCCTCATAAGACTTGTGCTCCAGACCCCTCACCAGCTTCGTTGCCCTCCAGCACCTCAATGTCCTTCTTGTAGTGAGGGGCCCAAAACTGAGCACAGTATTCTAGGTGCAGCCTCGCCAGTGCTGAGTATAGAGGAAGGATCACTTCCCTACTATTCCTGATATGAATCCAGGATGCTGTTGGCCTTCTTGGCCACCTGGGCACACTGATGGCTCATATTCAGTCAGCTGTCAATCAACACCCCCAGGTCCTTTTCCTCCAGGCAGCTTTCCAGCCACTCTTCCCCAAGTCTGTAGCATTGCATGGCGTTGTTGTGATCCAAGTGCAGGACCTGGCACTTGGCCTAGTTAAACCTCATCCAACTGGCCGTGGCCAATGAAGCAACGTTACTATGTTTATATTATTGTGGAGTCTCTCTCTCATGTGAGTCTTGTTCTTGTACTTCAGCAGTCAAAACACTTGAAAACACAGTAAATCCAGTATGTGAAGAAGCTCTTACCTTTTAACAGATGAGTGATTAAGGACAAATAAACACAACAGTATTCCTAAGACCAGGGGCAGTAACTTGTATTCTGAAAGTAAAACTTCCTAAAATGGAGCTGCTGCACATCCACTTTCTTAATATGTCCTTTTTTACAGCATCTGTGACTTATAAGAGTGACCAGTCAAATGCTATGCTTATGATTTTCATTCAGTCCAGTTCTAGTTTTCTATACACCCAATTCTTACCAAGAGAGTACTGTAACTAAAATTGAGCCTTCACCAAGGCTGTAGTGCTATTCTGTTTGATTACTGCATATGCAGAGCATTGGTTTAGAAAGTAACAGTTACCTGAGGAGCAATACGATTAACAATTTCTGAAATTTCTACTGCGCATCTACTGGTAGACTGTTTGGTTTTTCCATTTCCTATGAAAACAAACAAACAACCTTATTAAAAACTGCAAAACAATTCCATTTATAAAGTGCAGTATATCAAATAATTCAAGTATATGTCCTAAAATCAGAGCCCAATTCAGCACTATATTGAAGAATTTATGGGGTTTTAATAAAAATAAACCCAAACAACCTAACTGTGATAACAGAAATTCAACAAATTGTAGAACTTTTAGTATGCTCCCACTACGTGCCCCAAATAGGTGCCCTGAAGTCGGGATTTCGTTAATATTACCTAGTCTGTGTGCAATTGGTGAATGAGGATCCCAAAAGATTTCGTGCTGTATATCGGTGTCATTAACAGGAGAGCTGAAAGTACGTATACGGGATTTCCTACTCAACGATCTCTTTGGTGTTTTATGTAAACATGACTCTGTAAACAGAAAGATGATCCTTATTAAAAAAACAACAAATGAAAGGCCAGAATAACTTAGAACATACAACAGGACAAGGCAGAAAGAAGATAATTCAGGAACTTCAAGAACAAAAATTGTTTGCATTCTTCAGCATTCCTTTACTTACAACAGGAATATTGTTCACAACCATATATTTAATGCAAAATATGGTTATCTTTGTCAGTTACATCACCACAGAGATAACAGGGCATGACACAATACTGACAGTTATATGCTCAGCATCTGATGGTAAGGGTGGGAACTGTCAATCCTCCTACTTGTGGGAATACTGACTTTAGCTTATGTTAAGAGAAAAACTATGTATACCTACAAGGAAGAATATTTTGTATTCTGGCTTGCTCTGTGTCTTTCACCCTGACGCTGATTTGGGTCACAACTTTAATGGGCCCCGAAACTGTTCTGGTCACAACCTACCTTGGTCTATACTTCCTCCACTGGGCCTTTTCAGCTAGGACTGTTAAAAGCAGGAATATAGCTATTCAAAACCAGCTTGCAGCTCTCTCAGATCAGTGAGTGAACTGAACACACTACGTGAAGCTCAGATAGTCACCTCTGCCCTTTAGAACGGATGTTGCCGATGTGGACGCCTACAGAAATAATTTTAAAAGATGCAATTACTACGTGAGAAGCATCTTAGGAGATGCTTTGCACTTAAGCGCTTAGCACGGCCAGGCTTTATCCTCTCCTCGAGTGGATTAGCGTCCTCGGTCAGTTCTAAGTACTATCTCCCGCGGGGAGATGCCCTTCATCACTCCCTGACAGGAAGAGGCCCCTCCCAAGGCGCACGGACGGGGGAAAGGGGGGGATTACACCGCACCGGCCCGCTCCTCGCAGGCGGGCCGCG